TTAAAAATTACTTACAAATTTTATACAAATTTATTTTTACTAAGATCTTAAAAAAAAATACATAATTGTTTTAAGAGAATATATATAATTATTTTAGAGAATATATAATTATTTTATAGAATTATTTGCTAGAATATAAAATGATTTAAATCATTTTATTTAACAATGATTTAAAAATAATCATTTTTTAATCAATGTCAAATTAAATGTCAATTTAAAAACATGCAAAAAAAGGTTAATTTTACACAAGTAAAATATAATATTTACCGCAAGGTTGCTCCACCGGTGCCTGATGTCTCTTCCAGACCTCCTCCTCCTCTCAGAATATGATTAACATTTCGCACAGGACACTCGCGTAAAACACTCGCGAATAATAAAATATAATCGCGCGCGGACTATAACTTGAGTCCGATAACTTGAACGGCACTCCCGAAACGTTGCGACGAACCGGCTGCGGTTCGTTCATTTTTAAATCGGCGGTGAAGGTACGTTAGCTTCCTCGTTGGATTTTTACACGAAGAGAATGATTTTACTCAATAAAAATTTATCTAAAAATTTATCTAAATATCTTATATTCAGATATCTAAAAATTTTTAAATACTTGAGAAAAAAACGTTCTTTTCGTGTAAATATCCTCTGAGCCCTCCCACCACAAGATCGTACCCGTGAGAGGGAAGATAATCTGAAAAATATAATATATAACTATTATCTATATTACTATGCAATCGGTTAACTTTTAGAAATCAAGAATATCACGTCTGCAATTCGTTATCATTGCGAAATAAAGTCAGAGCAGATAAAAGGGTTGAATCTTTTACTTAGACATAAATGATTAGAGTCTAGAATGAAATAGGCTAGAGATTAATAAAAACGAAAAACGTTTCTTTTATTACCGATAAATAGTTACGGTTAATTTTTAAACGGATCTCCGTATCGAAAGGTGCTCAAAAAAAAACTTATTAATTATTAAATCATATTCATTGTAAAAGCAGGAATTGCGATTTTTTTGCACGAAAGTATTCATATTATTAACATTGTTTTTTTATAAATTTTATATCGTGTGTGATACCGTTCGTATAGACAAGTAGCCGTGTCGCGTGCCGCTCTTCTTTACATTTCTTTTGAAAAATATAATCGCGAAAAATGCTAGATATAATACGAAAGTTTATTTCATGAATATTCACATAATATGATTGCTAGTATAATTAATTATTATCATAAAGCTTCGTATTATATTTTTTTCGATTTTTTGCGATTACGTTTCAAAAGGGAATGTAAAGAAAAGCGGCACAACTACCTGCCTGTACGAATTTCGGTAAGACAATGACTGTATGGTAACTACGTATAAACATAACGCGCCGTTCCGTGCCACCCCGTACCATCCCCACTTCAAGGTCGCGCGCCGGTTGTCTAACTGTCGAAATATTACGCGTATTACAAAATTAGTAAAATAATCTATTCGTTTTAATATTCTTCGATGAATATTACGACGATGCTTTATTATATGATTTACGTTTTTTTTTAATTCGTTACGCACACAACTCATTTATATCTTAGGCCGATATTCATAGTGCCAGAACTTATATTCAAGACTCTTAAGTACAATTTTAAGAAGTCACGAATCAGAGGGCTGTATTAGTGCCTTAAGACATTACTTAAGACAGTCTTGAAATAAGAATGGACTGTGAATACCGCTCTTAGAGCCATATCTCTAATTTATATATCTCTGTAAATGTGTAACATGAATTATATTTAGTCCAAAATGTTTTATAATTTAAAAAATGTTTGCATTTATATAATGAATATATAATTTATTATTCATCTTTATTTGAATGTAAATCATCAAAGAGAATAATAAATATTAAGATATAATTCCTTGTACACACCTTAGTTTTGAGCAACATTACTGTTTGGGCAATCTTATGTAATTAATCGTCAATTCGCGTTCGTGAATATTTAATTTTCGTAAATTAATGTGCGACGCCCGGAGCGATCGTATCAAATGTCTGTCTCCCTCCGCGCTCGCCGAGCGAATGCCGAAGTGATGACGTAGTCAACCACCGGGCCACTCCCCTCTCGCTTTCGTCGCGCGACTCACTTGTTTTTCACCGGGCGCCGTTATTGCGTATGAAAAACAAGTGAATCGCTCGACGAATGCGAGAGGGGAGTGGCCCGGTGGTTGACTACGTCATCACTTCGGCATTCGCTCG